AAAATATTGCGAAAAAAACTCCTCAGCCAGGAGTCGAACCTGGAATCTCCGGCTTTCCGGGCCGTCGCCTTCCCTGTTAGGCTACCGAGGCACTTGGAGCTTGTCTCGCAATACTTAGCACATCTATCGAATGTCGATCTGNTAATAACGCCATCTTCCACCAGCGTAAATTTTAAATTAATAAAAATTATTTATTTTTAAGGTTTAAAAAAATTTTTTCCAGATTTTACTATTACATTTTTTTCTAATTAATTCCAGATAGAAAAATTTAAAAAAGAGTTATATTTATTGATTAGTTTAAAAAAGAGTGTTTTAAAGTATTATTTATATATACAAAAAGACTATAAGCTGCGTGGACATCAGCGCAATCTTTATTTTATCCTTTTTTTATAATTCACATTCAATTTGATCTGATCTATTATGTACGTTCTTTTATGTATTTACTTCTGCACAGTCGTTTCTTTTTTCTGAAAAATAAGATTATTGATAAAATACTTATTTTGATGAAAATTTGAAACAATATGTACGAGATATTTTATGTCAAAATATGCAAATGAACATTCAAGCACGTTTCGTCATTTTTCTTTCTCGCGTTATTTCTGTCTTACTTTTCAATGCTTTGTCTCGCTCGCACTCGCTTAGTAGATGCGCCTGCGCATAATGACGCTTGACTATCTATGTCCATATTTGGACTTCGTGCGTCTCTCTTTCTCGGGCCTCGTGCCTCTTATTGCGAAGATGCGCGACTAGCAATATAGAAATATTATATATATGGCTGTAAGAGAATCAAAACTAGGCACACTGGTTGTCATAAGCCCGTTCTACATTGATCGCAAGCGCAAACGCAAGGAACAGGTTTGGTAGAATTGACTAATCGTATTGATCAAATAAGCCAATTGACCAGCGTGATAGGTTAATTCTACGAGATCTATACCTTGCGTTTACGCTTGCGATCAATGTAGAACGGGCTATACGCGCGAACGAGATTACTGATCACGTTGGATTGTTTTCGGAGCAATGAATTCACTAAGCGATGCATTGTAGGTACGTATTCGCATCATGTCGCAAGTTTTTCAGTAAGCTTAAGCAACAGTTAAATTTCTGTTGCTATTTTGTTACGTATTACGGTATTTGTTAGTATGTCGTAAATTCTATCAAAAGATCACTCAAATTTCGTAGAGGTTATGTAGCGCATTGTAAACATTCGCGTGACTAATTAATAGTATGTAGTACAGTCGCAGTCACTGAATCGTTTCGTGGACGCGGGGGGCTAGGGGTAAGAGACGGTATTCCCTAGCGGTAAGTAGCGCCAACGGGCGCCGTCCTAACTAACTGTAGCAATCATCTGATCTACAACTGCGTCGTATCGATAATGTCAATGCTTTCCTTGACTATTTGTGTCTCAAAACGTAAAACTGTTGGCCTGTTTCACAAATGCATATATATACAGGGTGTTCCAGAATTGCCGTACAATCTCTCGTAGGCAGGTAGAAGGAGTAAAACTGAGTCGAAAAGTCCTGAACCATTTTTTTCTATTATTTATAATAAAGGAGTAATTATTGAGTAAATCAGGCCAATCAGCACAGACCTTTAGCCACGCGCACGTCAGTGAGCCGCGCGTCTGGTGTGTGTGAGCGCTCACTAACGTGCGCCTGGCTAAAGGTCTGCGCTGATTGGCCTGATTTACTCAATAATTACTCCTTTATTATAAATAATAGAAAAAAATGGTTCAGGACTTTTCGACTAAGTTTTATTCCTTCTACCTGCCTACGAGAGATTGTACGGCAATTCTGGGACACCCTATATATATATATATAGGTGTGTGTGTGTGTGTGTATATATATATATAGGTGTGTGTAATAAATTGACTTATTACGTCTTCACAGTATAAAAATTAATATTGTAATTCAAAAGTGTGTGTGTGTGTATATATATATATGTATATGTATACCTTTACAATTTTATTGTAATTACCGATGTCATTATAATTATACATGTATATTAAAAAACCGGACATATATAGCATTATATTTTATTATTTAAATATATAAAAACGCAATATATTAAATTAATCTTTTCGATGTTTATGTCGCGTATACTCGTCATGAAACGATGGCTTTTTTTTGTTTGAGAACGAGTATCTTTGTCATATAGTAAAAACAATT